AAGTAGAACATAAGGTTGACGGAAACCCCGGAGACTGCGTCTACCTGATGAGCCCCAGAAAGGGCGAAGCCGGTTGTGGGCTGTCGACGGATTCCCAGCAACCTTATGAGTAGTACATTGCAAAGATGTACGTGTATCGCGATATCTGGAATATCGTAGCGTGTGAAACATGAGGCGGCCTGGTGCAGCACATTCAGTTGCCTGAAAACATCACAAACGAGAGATTCAGCTGGGTTCCCGGTGAGTCTCTCGAAAAGCCAAATTAGTTTGCAAATGAGTTTATATTCGCTAATATTCAGCCATGTTCGGTGGCTCGTTTCAAAACCTTTCAGCTACCCTCCATATATGCACCATCAATTCTGTCGGTCAGCGGAGCCTTCTCTTCTCTCGTGCGGTTTCGTAAGGCAGCCGCCACACAGGGACATTTCCGGTGAGTTGATCAGCTTAAGTATTTTCTGCCATTGTACTTCGGGTCATAGCTCGAGTAGGTGGCTGCAGTTATCATGACCGTAATAACTGCCGTGAACTGATGTATATATTGGTCGGTTTTGCTACTAGCATCCCCTCTTACGAGGACTTTTTGTGTGGAATCTCTTCGTGCCAGTCGCTCCCAAGAAAAAAAAACTGCAGCTGGGCATAGGAATAATGATTACGTCGCATGTTCAATGTCCTTCTTTTACGTATATTGTCGCTCAACTGCTGACTGAAAAGGGCGAGTAGAACTCCACCGCACCTTTTGCCCATTTAGTGACTCCACAAGTCGAGTCTTCTGAAAAAAGACTATTCTTTCGCGAAGTCTGCAGCAATACTCTCCGTAGACCACAATCCACTGTTTTGGTTTTCCATTCTCTTCCCCGTCACTCTACGGTTTCGAAATTACGTTGAACAGCTCGCACTGCTCCAATCACACTAGGTCATTTTTCGTGGTCGTAGCAAATGGAAAATTCCTATTTTTAGTAATTCGGTCATATTGCTGTGATACCCTGTGTACATTTTCATGTCGTGGCCATGGGTGCTGTTACTACTCTAGTTTCAGACTGGCAAAGATGGACATTTTGGATTGCTTTCATTCAATAGAACATGCCAAACTCATGGAAGTTTTCAAAGAGATATGCGACTACGTAAGTTGTGTTGACATGCGCCCATCTTTGGGCTATTCTCTTGGACACCTTGGCGTTACATCTTGTTGGTCAATCGTGTCAAAATTCTGTGGAAAGTAGGATTTCGGGTCTCCTCATATGACAGCGGTTTATGCACCAACAGCCAAAAGAACAGAAGAACCTGCTCGTTCAAATGTTTTCGCAGTGAAGTACTTCCGAAGTAAGCGAAATACACTCATTTGCAAACTAATTTGGTTCTTCGAGAGACTCACCTGGAACCCAGCTGAATCTCTCGTTTGTGCTGCTTCCAAGCCTTACGAATGTGCTTCCAAAGTACTGTCGACACATTACCAAGTACTTCCGCATAATAATAATATGGCCGCCAGGTATGAAACTTCGGTTGTACTCCTGCTATACTAGATCATAAGCACAAGAGTCGAAAGGTGAGAAGGTGACCAGTCAATCAAAAAAGTTTTGATTATGTTCGGAAGTGTTGTTGATAATGAATTGTTCAGCCTACTACTGGCATGAAAGAAACAATGCCATTATTGCTCATACGAAAGACGGTTGTTAGCCGGGCAGTTGACTTTGAAGTCAGTTCACAGACTCAAAGTGTAAACCACTCCGATAAATACGCGCGCCACCAGAGTTATTTGCAATAAGTCCACCGTTTTATGCGCCAAGATGTCGTTCTTCCTAGGTAGATTTGGATGCCGAACTTTTTAAACCAGAATGAGCAGTTTATTTCCAACATCATGTAAAACTCTAACACAGTTCGAATTCGACCTAATAACTATCTGTTGCTGGTAGCTTCATGCCCCTATGGTCCCTTAAAGGGGTCCACTGGGCGCTCTCAGGGCGAGATGGCTCAGTGGATAGAGTGCGAATTTGCCGACCCAAAGGTCCGTGATTTGAATCCGATCTTTGTATCTCGATTTCCCCTGTCTAGGCTTGGGCAGCCTGGCAGTGTCCCAGCGCTCGTGCTTCCTTTCAGTGGCGTGGCAGCTAGGCACTGAAAGGGTGCTTCAGCTGAACGGTTGTCTATCTTTATCTCAAGTGATTACGTTGCAACAATGATCACCACTCCCCCCCCCCCCCCCCCACACACCTACGACCCAATAAATGGTCCGAAGTAATCATCCTCGTCTATTCGATCACCATAGAAAGACATATTCTATTGGAAATGAATGTGACAATCTAATTCAAAAAAGAACTGTCAAAGAGAATAATCTCACGCTAACCTAGAGTCGTCACAACAGCAAGCATGTATGCTAGACGGCTCTCGGTGACATGGACAGAGGCGTGTGTTCGGTGAACGTTACTTTCCTAATCACCGATCTAGCTTTGGTGGATAAGATTTTCTGCATTACTCTCTTACATCTCATTTTGGAGATATGCACAAAAGAAGCGCGCGTTGTCTTCTTTAGGCTTATGCGTAGTTTTCACCAATTCATGGCAAACTTCTCTTAGTTTTTGTTTCATGACTCCGTCGAAGTCTTCGTGTCTTTCTCACTCTTTCTGAAATGAATCAACATGAATGATCATTTCAAACTATTCAGTGGACTCTTTTCTGCAAAGTTGTTTGCTGTGTGAATTGAATTGTTCCATTAGTTGCAGTCACGGATTTAACTGCGTGTTATTCGATTCCTGCGCTATGTTTTCAATGTAATGTGCAACATACGTTACCCTTTTACTCATGTCCTGTCCCCTTTTTCAACATAGGCGCGGCGATACCTGTTCCCAGCACCTGATACTGAGTACCTGGTACATGAACTCGAGTGGTTCTTACGCGACGCTCTGATTCTGGTACGTAGTCCCTTATCTTGCTTCGTTTGCCCTGTCACTCGCCAACCACTTATGCTGGCACATACAAACCCAATTTTGATTTGATCTGCTTGTCTGAAAATTTGGTTCTCCGGTAAGAAGCCGGAAACATTGAGGAAAACGTGACGAGAAGCAATCTGGTTCTTATCATGGTCTCCCCTTAGCCCTACTAGGTTTGTGCTTACGGCCCAAATCACTCCTGCAAGTGTCAGTAGGTCTGTTAGCTCCATAGTGTTAGGGTCAGTAGACAATTTGTTGATCACCTCATATCGTACCACCCAACCCGAATATGCATTGCATACTTTGAAAGCGGTTAGCTTACCTTACAAACTAGGCACCTTATAAAAGTTTCAGAGAACAGAAACGGCCAAATCTTACACAATCCCCCTTCTCTACTGTCCATTTCTGATGTTCCGGTAGGCGACAGCGAGCTAGAAAATTGCACGATGGGTGCGAACTACTCACAAATATATGGGTAGTATGTTTAACATCAGCTGTAAGTCAAGGCGAAGGCAAAGTATGTAGTCTAGCAAGTGCTGGTGTGCACTGCCGTGGATGTTTTTGTGTGAAATGGGCCAAGCTTATACCACCATGATGGAGTGAGAAACTCATTTATAGGCTGTGGGATTGTAGCTGCCGGCCACCTGAGCAGGCTAAACCAATGAGGTGAAGACTGGCGGTTCACTGCCAGGCAGGCTGAAGCAAGGAAACTGCCAAAAATAGAAGACACTCACAACCAAGCAGAATCCAGGAAGAAAGACCACAACAAAACACAAACATGGAACGGACCAATTGCAAACAGACCCGGAACATCCCAAAACAGCCATCCAACAAACCAATGGAATAAGAGACACATTGACCACAACGCAGCAAAACAAAATCACGATTGATCCTACCATGATGCAACAGAAGGCATATACCGACTAACCAATCACATGACAGGATATTGAACACTCTACAAAAAACTACATAAACGCAGCTAGGCACGGAGGAAGCACCCATTCAACTGCGCACTGACGATGTTTCCTCAACTGGGGACGAAACGTTTGCAAGCCAATTGCCAAGCTCGGCGAACAGATCAACTGCCAACTGATCAACCACCAGTAAACACACCCGAGCTGCCTATATTTCGACAAATTGACAGACTGGCGGTTCACTCTTTGAATACTGCCTATTCGGATTGTCCAATAGACAGTTTCTTGGTGTGACTGCAGGTATAACGCTACAGGCTTAGGGCAGGATTCGTCAAGATCGACTGAAATCAGTCTACCGCCGCCGAACGTCAAGAGCAGGATAGTCGTTGTGTCGCCCCCATTGGTCTCTTGTTTGGCTGTAACGACCACAAAAGTTTCTGGATGTAGTGTGTCTGTGAGCGTACTGCTGAAATATGCAGTCGTTTTTATTGCAAACGGTATTGAGTGTTTTCTCCAGGAGTTGAAGCTCAGTAGTCCAATCTAGGCCTAGAAGGTCGTGGTGAATTGAATCCTACTGAAAGTAACAGAGCAGTTCAGCTACCCGGTCAGTTAGTTTTCAAATCAGAATGTGGCCATAAGTTACATCAAGTTGGAGGATAACCGATGTTCAAATGATTCACACGGTGAAGCTTTTCCTCGACCAAGTGACATCAGTTTTCCTTTTCAGGTTACTACTTTGGCGAGCTGAATTTACCTTTGCAGTGTTATTCTTTATGACCTTTTCGATCGCCTTCACTTCATTTGGGGTTCCGGGTGGAACAGCGGTGTGGTAGATATAATTTATCAAAAACTAAAAGTGTAGGTTTTACTTGGATTCTGTGTAGAATTTGAATTTTTTCTGAGGTTAGGTTTGGAGGGATGGGAATATTCCGTCGTCGCAGCTCCACCCTTGAGACCGATATGGCGCTGTCACCCAGAACTAAGTTTCTGAATTGCCAACTCCTGATCCCGTTCATTTTTATTTAGTATCCTTTTTGTGATTGAAGACCAGCCACGAGGATGGGACAGATAAATGGATATTCATTCACAGTGCTGAGTTGGAGATGCTCACTTTGTTTGTTGAGAACGTCGAAAAAACGTAATGGGAACTTCAGTATCCCTCTTTGTAATCTTAAGACATTGGACAAAAGTCACTGCTCTCCCTCCCTCTCTTAGCCAAGAACTTGATAGTATCTGCAAAGCCAAAGTTACGTGGGGGGTTGCTTAGTGTGTATTTATCATGCTCAGCTCTTCTCAGTTTCCGCAACAATAGCATGGCGATGAACTTCTTCGGCAAAATCAAGTGCACAGCAGTGCACTGAGGGTCAGACAGTTGCATCTGGGGAAATATTGCTCCACTGTAGTTGTGTCCGTACACAGAGGCCTCCCTTCACTAAGCTGCAGTTTTTCTGCGTAAGTGATGCTTGAGAGTAAGACAGCTTCTTGCAAATCAACCGTTTTTCATTTTCTCGAAGTAAGCAATATTTTAGTCCCCGTTAGGACTCTAAACAGCGATTTTTAGGCCGCACTCCCCAGACCTTACATTGTAATACTATATGCTTTTTTATTTTTACATGGGTATAATCTCGAAGGGCTAGTTATAAAATCAGATTTTCGCCAGTTTGGCGAGAATCAAGTCGAATCATACCTGATGCATCTCCCTCTTTCATTTTTCTGCATTCTAGTTTGAGGGACAGCTTTGCCGTTTTCAAAAAGGCCTAGCTCAAGGCTCCTGTATCTGTACGGAACTGGCGAATCTTTACCTTGCGCATGCCGATCGGCAATTTGCACAGGGTTTTCCACTATGGCAGTCTGGGGTGAAAATCACATCGACGTTCTGTAGCACCGTGTTGAGATACTTGGATGATTACCTGTGCATCACACCCGTGGATGGCAATCTATCTGAATTCACAAAGCGTGTGGAAGCAAGTTAGTTCGTACTTTGCATCATTGAAGATTTGGTCAACTCTTGACTCCGTCTGTTAGTTTTGATAGATTCTGTCTGCGTGAGTGACGAGTGAGGTTTCTCTGAAAGTTGTGAGAAGCACTTGTTATTTTTTGTAGCTCTGTTTGAAGGCATGGTAGTTGGTCTGTTTTCCGCACTTTGTTGCAGCCCGTTTCAACTCCAGGCAAACTGATAGGACGAATACACAAGAGCGCAAATCTGAACCTGCTTCGTCGAGGTTGGCTTCGAGGTGTACCCGTCTCCTTCAGTCTGTCCACCGTATCAAGCCATTGCGTAGGGAGTATCTGTTGTAACTTGCTGAACGGTAGTGCAACTCTGTGTCGGTCCCTTGGCTTCCTGCCCACTATGGTATATCAAAAGGCACGTTAGCTCTACACAGCCGTTCATGGATAAAATAGAAAATTACTACAACTGTATTTATAGGTTAGTCACAGAGTGTTCCACAAGGTCGTGCCAGAATCTCCGTGAGGGGGCGAGAAGCGTCGAGCCAAGGGCGTTTGGCTCGGATTGGCTGGCGTTCTGAACAATCAGGGCATGCCTTCGTTTGGCCCGTGCCCTGCACGTGTCACATCCGTCCAAGTGATGTGATGTTCGGTTATTAGGGACGGCTGGCCTCCGTACAGTATCTTACATCAAAAAGTCCCAGAAAATTAGCGGACTGATTTCCCTGAGCAACCATTCTTTCATCGTGATGCCGTGTCTTGACTGTATATCCTCACCATTGTTAGCTAATTTTACTACTTCTTTAGCTTTCCATCCGAGTAGCGGCCTCGAACCGAATACGTGGACTTCGTTGGACAACAAGGTCATAAGGAATCCCGGGGAAATTTGTTTGGAACCCGCACCACGAATGTTCCCAGTTGAACATATCGGGCGATTCCGCGTACTTGGCGACGCGAATAGTTAAAAACTATGATGTTGGATGTACATTCCTCGCCTAAAAAACACGCAGCCTCTTCACCATTGAAATGCCTTCTTGCAGCCACATGCCGTTCCATAGAAGCTCACGTAAATTAGCCCTCGAATGGAACCGTACGATTGACCTTGTTATATCTGCTGATTCGTCAATCTGTTCAGGAATCTGACCTTCTTGATAGACCTGAACTCTTCGAAATGACGATCTTTGTAGGCTCGAAGTCTTTACCGGTGGTCAGTATAGCGAATACAGAAAGGAAGTTGGGACGTGACTTCTCCAACGATATCAGAGGAGGCAGCTGTAATACTCTATGCCGTTACGAATAGCTTCAGTGGTATGATTAGCCGTGATTTGAACAAGTTTTCTTCAAACCAGATTTTGAACTATCCTTGTCGCCGTTGCACCAGAGGAAAGCTTAAAACCTGGCTCTTGACGGTTATGGGCTGACATTGAACTCCACGTGGCCTACGGCATCCGACAGTGAACTAGAAATTAGAGGACGCTGTCCTCAGACTTGTTGATGGTCTTGCTTCCTAGATAGCAGGTATGCTGAATATTCTTGAAGTCAGCCCACAGTTCTTCAAGAGAAAGCCGCCGTTCATTAGCGTAACTCAAAACAATGTAAACTCGAATGAACCGATCATAACAACACTTCCTTGTGCTAAAAACCGATTCCTCCCATCAAATTCAACTAAAATGAGCGCTGAACGGTTGCACGGTTGCGGGCGATTGTAAAGTTGACCGTTAAACCAACGCATGGTTTCTATTACGAGGCCACAAGAGAACTTTACTTTCCACCTATCCACCATCTATATATCTGACCGTCGGCCTGGTATTCTGCTAACCTTATCACCTTTAGTTCTGTGGTTCATATTTTATGTATCATTACATCGCTTTTTCGTTCGCTCTCTTCAGACCTGGAACACTACGGGCTCAAGCTAAACCCATCGAAAGTGCAATCGAACGAAAGTAATTAAAGCCATGGTTTCTCTTCTGTTTTTCCCAGTTTACGTCACATGTGTGTCTAGGTTTTATGTATTCATCCAATGTCAATTCAGATGTGTTATTCATGTGTGCTTGGTTATGCTCGTCGTATGATTAATTTCCTCACACTTTTGAGGTTTGGTAACTGTTGTCGGTGAAACTTAGTTGCTAAAGTGATCACGCATCCACAACAGGATAAACCTATCAGAAGGCTTTAAGCTGTATCCTTGAAGTAAGCAGACTACCTCACAGAAGCGACCACTTTTGATAGGTTCTAGAGGTCACTCGAGGACGATTAGCTCTATCAGAGAAATGAGTAAATCTGTCCGTCTAGGTTTGAACCGGTCTTGGGAGGATCTTCGCGTCCACCACGAAAACTAATTGCAAATCTTATGTGCTCATAGAGAGAGAGAGCCTCCCAACACTTTACTTCGTGATATCTAGCAAAAAGTGGTTAAATAAAGGTTCACACAGAGCTTTCAAACTCTTCAAGTTGATTATGGGATGTCAACATTCGTCCAAAATTCTCACGAGATTGTAGCTTCTCGCTGCCTGTGCCGTCTTTGTGAAAAGTGTGCATTCGTTACCACCGAGTAACTCGTCACGTTACGGAAGTGGCCTGCTTTTCAACTCTTCATTGTATTAGCCCAAAAATAACAGCAAATCAGACATAGTTTTACAGGTTACAGCTGGTAGGATGTAACTCTCGAATTGCACGGCAGTTTCTGATGTTGACTTTGACACAATTTCAATCAATGATCTATCTGAGTTTGCTCTACCACATAGATGCGCTTCGGGATAATGGAGAATCATTATGGCTTTATGGCTCTTGAATAAGGGACGGTCTGTTAGACGCATTAAACGCACCGTGAAGTGAACATCCATCTCCTGAATGCCATCAATGTGACCCTGCGTGCCGTGTCTTACTGTAAAGAGTTCAACTCTTCCATGAGGGAACCGTCCGTTTCTTTGAAAACACCGACAACAGGGAGTAGCTGTCTGACAAATTTCACCTGGTATCTGGTCGTTTCTCAAGCCGGCAATGGCAATTTGAGCAGCCACAGTGAGAGACTTATATATCATTTTGAAACGCTCGTGAAAACCCTGGCTTATATCTGATGCACATAGTTTCGGGGCGAGATGGCTCAAGTGGTTAGGGCGCAACTTTGCCAACCGGGAGGTCCGTGGTTCAAACCCTACCTCTGCTTCTCGACTTCCCCTGTCTAGCCTTGGGCAACCTGACAGTATCCCAGCCCTCGTGCTTCTTTCGGGTGACATGGCGGCTAGGCACCGAAAGGGTGTTACAGCTGAACGATTATTACAATTTGGTTAAATATGTTGGTATCTGATACGTTCTAGAGCTAATGTGAACACTTTTCAGAAACCTGACGCTAAGTTTGCACTCTCTGAGGTGCTTCCAAAGCTATGCGCTCTGACTTTATTTATTTTAAGCTGGTCGCTAAACTATCCGGTGTCTGGCTGTGCCGGTTGCTGGAGGGGAGGTCAAAACTGCCTATTTTGGTATGCTAGAAATGCAGTGACGGAGCGCGCCAAAACAGTCTGTGGGACTTAGTTGGGAGTATTTTGCATCGCAGAAAAAGTACGTGCGAACGCCTGATGAGTGTTATTACGCTTTCACCATCATCATGCCACGTCACAATCAGATCGATTCTTTCTGTGGTTTATCCATATGGTTCAGTCGTTTTTACCTGATTAAGAACACTAGGGGTTCATATGAAAAAAATAAATCGTTCAGATGTAATGCCCTTTTGGTGCTTAGCTTCCATGCTACCCGAAGAAAGCACGAGTGCTTGAATACTGCCAGGTTGCTCAATCCTAGACAGGAGAATTCGGGAGGCAGAGGTCGGGTTCGAACCACGGACCTCCCAGCAGTAAATTCGCGCTATAACCACTGAGCCATCTCGCCCCCTTCCTTCCGTAGGTTGCCAGTTACACGTAGAAAAGCGTGTATTCTAAGACTGTTGCTATTACCTCAGGGTGCAATCATTTGATTCAACAGGTGCTGTTCAGTAGTGTGAAGAGAGGAAAACGGTAGTACTCTTGCTGGTCTCCTACTGAAAGACAAGGTCTGGCCGTGAAGTCGCAAGTTCGAATCCTCTTTGAGGTTCGCGAGATGTGCATTGCTGACGATGTAGGATGACGTGATTTAGGGTTGACTTCTCCTCTGGTTTAGTCTTAATTAGGGTGAAGTACGTAGTGGCTTGCTTTCCCAACACCCATCATCTCTGCTCTGTATTTATTCATTTGAGTTGATATAAATAAGTTCAACCGGGGGGTACGGGCGAATATGCCATCGCATTCAGTTAAAAGCGTTTACCAACGATGCCGTAAAGCTAGACTTTTATCGCCACACGAAAGTAAAAGTACACATGGGTCTTATGTTATACTGTCATATGCTCACATGCATTATTGTGATCGCATCCTACAGCCATGCGGCAGTACAGATGGAGCAGCCACGATGCTCCTAGTCAACTAAGGGTTGAAGCACCACACGTTCACTGAACGTTCTGGTGGACCGTACTGCAGCTGCACCGACGAACTTTACCGGAAAGAGGAAGTAAGACGGTATAAGGCTGCCACGATTTAATATTCTTTTTTCAACTTCTCACGTTAGTTCAAGACTTTGCTCCAACGTTAACCTATATAGGTCAGCTACATCCACCTTTCCGCGTAGATTGCTTGATTTCGGTGGTAGATATTTGGCGGTAAAGGCTCGTTTCGGTGTAGCATGTACGCACTACCTCATAAATTCAATGTACAGTAATCTGACGATGTTTACTAAATCGCCGGCTCATCCGTCACTTTGCTTCAAGTTCACAATATTGTCTCTTCTAAATACAGGCTCCGGCCATCAAGTCTCGTTCAGTTGTGCATGCAGAAGAACGACTGATACAATCCTGAAGCATAGTGTGTTGAATCAAATTGTTATCCCTATATGACACGGCTGAGATATGAATGTCTTTTTCATCGATCCGCACTCTTTAGTGCCTTTTTTCAAGTTCACGTGAAACGCTTCTTCGGATGATGAAGATGTAAGATTAAAAGTCTCAGTATAACTGGGGGCTGTGTAAAATTGTTCAACTCAGACGATATTGTCAACGGAATCTCACTAGTCCTTCACTTGGTGACTGGTCTTTACGATACAAAAACAAACAGTTGCTTCAGATTCATCATGAACACCTGGTCAGATCTGGATAACCGTTACCTGAAAAATTGAAGTAATTGAAGGAGAAATTCGAACTCGTATATCATTTATTGATTGAGAGATGGCTCAGTGGCGAATTTACTGACCGGAAGGTCCGTAGTTCGGACCCGACTTCTGCATCTCGACTTCTCCTGTCTCGGATTGGGAAACTTGGCAGTGTCACAGCCCTCGTGCTTCCTTCGCGTGACATGGCAGCTGTGCACCCAAAGGGTGTTACAGTTGAACGACAGTTATCGAACAGTGTTACCCAGAACTGGTATATTTGAAACCGTTCTCCAGTAACTCCCCATAATAAAAGTATTTAGTCCATCGAAGTTCATGCTGAAAACCGCATGCCTCAAACTCAGTGTTTTTTTCGTGATGGCGTCTTTGAAACCTCTTGTTAACAGCACGACCCTTTCACTTATATTTTTTCCCTTTATATAGGCACTCGAATTATCTGGCTTGGAATGGAAATCCAGGACGATTTGACAATAATGATTCCGCAGGAACCCCCACGTAGGTATATCGACCCAGTTTGGTTCCATTCATTTGGTTAGCTCCCAATGATACAGCGTGATGCAACATGTGTTTATGGTTTGAGTATCGGTGAATTGAAGCGACTCTTTTATTTTCAGCTTACACCGGTCATTCCACCACTGATGATTAAACAGTTGCGTAAATGCTTCCTGGTTATCCATTATCGTAAAGATGCGCTGGTGGTTATCCACGGGAACACTGTTATGGTCTCATATTAGGAAAAAATTGGAGAATGAGGCAGATAATCATGAATAATCATAGACAAATAATTGGTGCCAGCACCCATAGTTGTTGTCTTTTGTCTGGATCGACTGGTGAGCAACAGGTCTCCGTGGTTGGCCCGCCGATCTCATTGCGGAATTCTTTGCTTAAGACAGGGGTTCGAACCGGGTCCGCTCGAACTATGCATAGAAATCCAGTTCATGAGCCGCTGCCGACCGGCAAATCTGTTTCAGCTACCAGCCATATCAGATTTAGCATACCCGGACTGCCTATCGGTTGGGCGCTTTATGAGCTCCGGATTCTGGGAAGACTTGTTTAAGGGCTGTCATACTAAGTAAGGCATAACACTTATAGGGTCAATGGAGACTCATCGGAATCCCAAAAAAATTCCAAAGCTGGTTGTGTGACGTCTAAACTTTATGGTGTGCCCTGTCAAGGAAACAGCTCTTGGACATCTTGAATTTCTCCAATGTGCACATCTTTAATACACATCCAACTGAAGAAACTAAACGAGAGATCTAGTAATGCTTGATTTCAGACTTTGCGAATAGCCGGACGGATGCATCGACCTCTAAATTCTTCATTCACTTTACCAGCTTCTCTGTTATTTGGACCAGCATGATCTATGGAGTGATGTGTCATTGGAATGTTGTTGTCGTCCTGAAGCCGGACCACACACAAAGAATTGGCCGAGCGTTCAGTACTGGGAGTGAGGACCATTTGGACAACTTTGATTTCAGCCACCACTGCAGTGCAATTGATGCCACTGGCAGGTAGCTACATAAAATATTCTTTTAAGCGCCCACCGTACAAGACCATCACCTCTTAGGTAAACACCGCCATGAATGTATTCAAAAATATCAAATGGTTCACTCATTGATATACAGTTACCATGTAGAAGAGCACCATACCATCGCATCTGAGGCAAAGTCCTTGTGAAAAGTTACGTGAGGGCCCAAAAAACATGACTGTTTGTCCTCATTTTTTCATTCTTTACCCGGTTGCTTCCAAAGCGTTACCTCAGAATCCAGAGGCCCTGGTCTCCTAATTACACTTAATGACATGACAACTAACCCTAAATTGCTCAGCGGTAGCCACAGTGAATTGTCCCTCGTTTTCTTGGGAGATCACTTTGTTAGCCGTGTCGTTGTAGCAAGCGACCGACCTTTTTAGTAGTTTTTTTATTCTCCTAGAGAAATATCTTGGAGTACCACCAAGAGATTGTCTATTGTAGAATCCGATTAAGCAATTTACATGGCTTTAAAATGCACCAGAATATTCACTCACTGTATGTTACTCATCACTTGCCTTGTCAATTCCAATTTTTGTCCGAATTTTTCTGTGCGAGTGTTTGCAAGTGAATTTGGAGGTTTGTTTAAGTCTCTTCGTCTGTGATGAGCAATCACTAAGCACTCTATATAGCCGTTTCATCTTGCTGGGAATCACCAACATTGCAAACCACACGAATACAACACACGTATCTCTGGAGCCAGTCACCGTAACACGTGATTTAATCCTGGTAAACAATCAATAGCCACATGGACTAACCCGGCAAATGAACGCGGACCTCTTATTGACTGTGTTGCTGTCAGACGAAGAGACTCCAAAGAGGCTTGGTGCTGAATGCAACGTGGACCATTTGGTACGTTGAAGGTGCGCACCGACTTGACAAAACTAAGACGTCATGGGACAATCCACGAAGCTGGATGTTTGCAAGTCGTAAGACTCAGTAAACACAACGAAAGTCCAAGGAGTGCTGTTGAAGTGATCGTCAAAACCAACTCCACCGGTTTTAGTGTCTGCACTAAAAGCACACCTGAGCGGAGTTGAATTGGGGATTATACTGAGCTGAACAAACCAGTGCAAAAGGATTGTCTTAACCAAAATAACCATGTAATTTCTTTCGTGTTTGAACCAAAGAATGTAGTTGCCATTAAAATACTCAAGAATCCTCGTCTGCTAGGAAATAATCCAATCGCATTAACCAAACTACCCTGGCGCTGGTGTGGATGAAATGCAGTGAATAAACCCGGTTGTACACCCATATTCACAAACATTCCTTGGAGTATGAAAGAAAGTCCATGTTCGGAAGTTAATGTTCTTCATCATATGGATGGCCGCCTATCCAGTTCACAGCGCTTCCTACCCCCAACGAAGGCTGCGTGATTTGAAGGCACGTATTTCACTTAGCCATGATAACGGAAGTCGTTCTCCATTAGCAGCCTTGAAGGATATGAAAGTATGCGGGCGATGTGCGGCGTTATATCGAGACATGAAGGAATTGATCTATGGCACCAATATCTCAGTGCAATGTCATGCTTAGGGTGGCTGATGGCTAGCAATAGGCCACTGCCAGTTTGCCGGCCTATCTCATTCGTCCCATTCACAGGCTCAATAGCAGTAGCGCATCCGATTCCTCGAATGTCGTTTATGTTCAAATGAAAATTTGCAGACATCCACTGTTGGCGTGTGAATACCTATCAGATACCAGTGAACTATGCACCACAATAGAGTTGTAAGGGAAGATGTGCTCATTGGATCCGTGATCCGGAAGCATTGAACTGTACATACAAATGAGATGATGATCTGGTGTAACGGTGGATACTACTGATGAGGCATGTGAGTAGCATGCGGTTTTTCCGTAACTTGGCCATGATTTTATGGAACGTGGGATTTATTGCGGAATTTGTAGAGCTGCTTTGCAGTATTCGTTTACAATAGCGTGATAGTCAATGAATATCCAGGAAAGTTCAAGAAGACACGTTCAAGAAGGAGATGGATTTTCGGTTCTTTTTTAGAGACAAGGTGCATGTAAGAGTCTTACTTTCCTGTCTAATAGTCTGTAACTGTTTAGTTGGTGTTTTCTTATAAGCAACCCCGCGGCGTAAGGTTTTCCTCCTTTCACTGGTAGCACCTTGATTACTGAAACAAAGCATGGGCTTGGCGAATTGATGTCCCTCTCAAGAAGTTCCCCAAAGAGGAGTTACACCAATCGAAATTACACAAAAGCATACCTTACCACCGATGATCTAATGTCGATCCCCTTCCTTCCCAAAAGACGTTAGTGGTCGCTGGGAGAATTATGATGTGGTATGGGCTTTTGTTGACGGTCCCTAAGAGCTAACTAGAGCCGAACTTGAATCATGGGAATGCTAATCCACTGGACACGTCTCTTGCACTAGTGGGTTGTAGAAGACACTGATCTGTTTGGAAGTGGTTACGGTTCAATATAGGATTTGGTGCCTTCACCTCCGTGAATATCCGCTTGAGAAGACGTTCTTTTGACGCACCTTATAGCTCATATCATAGGGAAACTTTGAGTTGTTTATTTTGCATAATTTTATGCAAGGCTTCCGCTGTTCCACTCAGGTTAATACTGAGAAAACCGTCAATACTTGTTTCAATTCTAGATACGAAGGGCGCGTAAACGTGTTGTTGTAGTGTCCTCTTTGTATTCCATTGTTTTTCTGAATAGCACGTTTCTGTCGCTTCACTGGTCGTCCACTATCGGCCGAAGATTGTCTCCTCCATCTTTCGCGGGCTCGTCTACGTTCCGTTGCCTGGCGATATGCATTTAATCCGTCGTGCGGTATTCGTCAGCCTTCTCTAAACATTGGTGAACTCAATTCTCAAACACACTGGAATTCTTTATGTGAGCAAAACGCCCATCGACTTGGATACCGGGTCGCTGACCTTGTATGGGTGTGCGTAAAAACGTCACCAGGACGAAGGGAACTCTTGACCTTGCCCACAGCACGTCAGCTATCCAGTAAGTGGTGCAGGTCCAACTAAACACTCCCTTGATGAACCGTATTGCGCCTCTTTGTTTTGACAGGTGCATACTAGGTCGTTTAGTTCCCTTAAACTACCTGAAACTTTTGATGTATGTTTCCGGTCTTACCCGGAAACATCCCTCGAAAGGTCTCTCTATTTTCGCATCATCACCATCCTCATACATGGATTCATTATTACCCCACCAGCGTTGAAAATCGTTATTTCACCTCTCTGCCACGTCCTCAACTTCCTTAGTTGAAGAAAAAAGCATTTCGCAGGGTGACCCACTGTTGGCCTGTCACGACCATCCTGAACTATGCTCATTTCCGAACACGGCCTCTAGGCGTACAACATAAACGCGGTTCACATAGCTTACGGCATACCCGGGAACACATGCGAACCCATTAGTTATAGTCTTGTGTCAGATGGACCTACTAGGCGGGTAATGACCGATCACAAGTTCCATGAAAAATGGGAGTTCGTCGTGTTCATTACCCAGTTATGTCTTGAATGCTATGTGCACGAAAACGTCAATGAGGTGCTGGATGGTTAACAAAACGGGTGCGAGCCGATTCATAAAAACAGTAGAAAAAAACTACGGCTCTGGCATTATTGCACAATGTGAGCAGCTCTGATACGCTATCTAGTTGTCACGCAGTTCGCCAAACTTGAGTATTGGCTTTTGAGCGTTTCGTCCCCAGTCAAAGAAGCATTATCAGTGTACGACGAAACGTTTGCATTTTGATAGTCGAGTCTGGTGAACAAACTACAGAACGTATTTCCTCGAAACTAGCAGGAATGATGTCATCGTTAGAAGTGGACCCTGATGGAAGCATTAGCCCAGTGGTCTAAAATGAAATGGACGAGGAGAATGAGTAAATATGGTCCTNTCCTCGAAACTAGGAGGAATGATGTCATCGTTAGAAGTGGACCCTGATGGAAGCATTAGCCCAGTGGTCTAAAATGAAATGGACGAGGAGAATGAGTAAATATGGTCCTAACTATTCACCTGAAATGATAGTTCCGATATAATTAAAGATGAATATTGGGTTTTTCATAGCGGTGGGGGTGAGATGGCCCAAGCGGTTAGAGCGCGAATTTACTGACCAGAAGGTCCGTGGTTCGAATCCGACCTCTGCCACTCGACTTCCCCCGTCTAGGCTTGGGCGACCTGGCAGTATTCCAGCCCTCGCGCTTCCTCCAGGTGGCATGACAGCTAGGCACCGGAAGGGTGTTACAGCTGAACGATTATTATTATTACTATTACTATTATTATTTTCATAGCGGTGCCTTAGTTCTCGGAAGTTGACGGCGCTTACCTTGTATAATCTTTTTCATAGGAGGGAGCTAAACACTGATGATAATATGGGGATTTGAGGTTCGCTGATGCGAGAAGATGCTAGATATTGAGTCAGATGTTGATCTTGTTTCTGATGTGACCATATTCAACTTTTTTGAGCTACATAACTCATTGAACCGCGATTGAAAGTGATCAAAGCTGTCCATTCAACCTTGTTGCGTCAGCTCCCGAAAGTCACTGTACAGCTGACTAGTTCCAAGACATACCCATATGAACAGAAATGTACTGAGATCATTCTCTTCCAGTCTAACGTACTTAGGTGGTGTCACCGCGAGGTTTTGGAAATTTCAATGGATACAAGAAACAACCGACACTAGAGTCCTTGTTTACATAGATCTAATGGCGCTGATTGGCATGTGAGACACATAAGAAGGCAGATGAAAAAGCCGATTAAATATTATTGACTTGGCTTCCCGTTCTCTTGTAAGGGAAGTTGGTACAATGGCCAATCCTCTTGTGGTGGGCGATTCACGCTCTTTTTAGATGGATCTCTCTTGGTAGCATTCTCCCTCTCTCGTGATGCGATCGGCTCTTTAAAGCTGTGTTCGAATAGTAGCCTTTTGTCAATAATGTATGGTATTCCCATTGTGTTGCGGAGTGAACTAGCTCTTTGGGAAAGAGAAAAAAATCGTTCAGTTGTAGCACCCTTTTGGTGCCTAACTGCCATGCCACACGAAGGTTACACGAAGGCTGGGATATTGCCAGGTTGCCCAAACCTGGACAGAGGAAGTCGAGAGGCAGAGGTCGGGTTTGAACCACGGACCTTCCGGTCATCAAATTCGTGCTCTAACCAGTTTGGCCATGTCGCCTTTTGGGGGAGAGAAGGTGCCCTTTGATTGGTTTCTAGAGAGGAGGTGGGAGGTTCCACTGAAGAACTCGAGTGCCGCCGAAATCTTATCGATGTAAGTGTCTCTTTTTAAATAACCTCCATCAGGAGAGACACTGTATGGAGCTTTGCTACAGTACAACAGCCCAAGCTACCTTTTGAGTTGAACAGTTGTGTTTTAGTTGCGTTTGTTGTACTGTTTTCATCACTTGTTTGTTTCTCCATCCGGACACCACAGCTACCTTTCAGTCTAATGCCACGAATATTCCCAAAGCTGCATTGCTTCGAGGTTCCTCACTCCAACCTCAATAGCATAACATTTTTGACGAAGTCCAACACAGTAAGTCCTTGCTTGGGAGACTCCCAACAAGACAAATAACCACCTTGCTTGCGCGGCGGTCCCTCTTAGCACCACGTTCGACTTCCGGACATGAGGAGATCAAATTTGCATATCCAGTAATCAGGTCATTTAACTTGGCCTGCTCAGTTCTCTCAGAGTCTTCTGGTAACACGAGTAAGGATTAGCACATCAGAGAAATATGATCTCTCATTTGTACACACCCTACACCTGAGCGCTGAAATCAGCTTATGTTCTAGTTTTATTCTGTCCACGGATTGAGCTGTGTTCATTGTGTTTGTCGTTATGTCGATGTAATGATTTTGAAGGGCATACGCGTCCAACACCCTTTTATGTTGTATCATGTATAGCATAAACGTCCTGTTTAGGAGGATATCTCGACGACATCCATTCGTTAATTCCCACGTTGTTGGGTCTTCCTGAGAAAGCTTACCGGCCGAGCTTGTTTTGGTTCACAGTTTATTTCTTGATAATGTTTTTTTTACTGGCGTGCCGTTTTCACTTTCGGAGAGTGTCAAACACTGATTCTGTGGACGCTGATTTTCTTTTGATTACTGGCGTACAGCTTGCAGTAGAAGCACGAGGTTGACTCCATCAGATTAATCTGTAACCTGATTGTTGGGTCAAGCTGTTTGCACACTTTATTAATGTTTTTGTGTGTGCATGTGTTTACCTTCCACTTCACTCTGACTGAGGACAGTAGGCTAGCCTCCAGGTTCACTACACAGTGGAATCACACAAATCGAGGCAAGGAGGTTTCGATTTGTGGCTGTGCAAATGTGGACTGACCACTGTGCCGATAAACTGTTGTCAGTCAGCTGTACATAAAAGGATGTTTAAAAAAATCCTCTACTTGGTGGATATTTTCTCTAGAGTTTCACTTCGGTAGAATTGTGTACATAGATTGGAGCAGATTCGGTGCAACTGGGATTTCTACCATACTGTAGGAAACGTTTGCTTCAGTTTGCAGTTTGCTAGGTCACTGACATTGATTATCGCTTCTTGTCTGTTGCTTGTGGTCGGTATAAGAAGAGGTGTCTACCTCGATTTGCTATGCCCTGGCTACAAAATGTCACAGAACATTAAAAAAAATTCTAGAAGATAACGGCTGTGATACTCGGGTGCTAGTAAAGAGTAAACTGATTTTGCCTTGATGAGTGTGCATCACTACTACTTCATGATTCCCGCGGATGATTTAGTCAATGGGCAGTATATTCCATTTCGGTGGAGATTTCGTCCTGTAAGTGAAGCCAATCTATGCTGAAAAGCCGAGAAGCACTGTACAGCTGTTTCATCCTTACTGAGAGTCTCATGAAACTCCAGAGAGTCCCGAATCCGCCACCTCCCGGCTAGAAGTTTGGACACTTAACCGTCCAGCCACAAGCGGCTGATCAGCAATGTGATTAACTCGCACTTAGCGCTGCTCATCTTTCACTCAAGGGACCCGCATCATGTAGTCACTCGTGTTGACGGGTTCCTCGAGCAATGACTTCTCAGGACGAAATCTCCACCAAAATTCTCAAATCTCCTCACACTACTAACAGTATATTCTGCTGTCACCGACCATTGGATGATTTTTTTCGGGAACTTGAGCTGAAGTGGAAAGTGTGCGCTAACTAAGCAACGGTGGGCTGAGAAGCGAGTGAATCAAAGTCTCGTTTGGCAAAATTTACAGTGATTTTTGACCTACCACCCAAACGATGCTGGAGTGTTGTGTCCTCGAAATTTTCCGGAGTTACACAGTACAGTGCAACGACACTTAGTTACCATCATCACCGTTGATTGCAACACCAACGGAGAAATCTGATACCTCACTGCTGTACAACCACGTCAATTTATTTGAATAAAGCCTTTTGAAGGTGAGGAAAAATGCAACTGGAAGGGGGACAGAGAGCTATTCTACCGCAAACATCCGAGGTATATACACCCGCAGTCAGTTAATCTAAATAGAAGCTGGCAGCATGATCCCCAGTGACATCGCGTATACTTCAGTGTGTCGAGCCAAACACAGAGAAGGTCAAATGGATACCATCTTTGAAGAGGAACAGCACTAACGGCACACAAACAATTCGTACTGTCCTCCATTCCCTTCTGTCATGTCAAATTCGGCCACTCTCAATTGGGCATGAAAAACAACATGACATCGTTTGTCACGTCACTGTCAGAGCCAGTGCGACTTCCGAGATACGTATTACGTTTCACAACCTCCAGTATCACTCCTTGAATTCATGAGCTAGAAATTCTCTCAGCGTGACGTTGCACTTGATGGGCGCGAAGCGTATGCCGAAGAACTGGATGACCTTGGTCAGCTTTTTTTTAAAATAAAACATACTTTTTCTGCACTTCTTCAAGAATGAGAACAGCGTCGTCTGAATATTTGAGGTCGACAAGGTTCCCGCTCGGTGAGATCGAACACTGGGGTTTCAGAGACCTTCCAGTGTTACGAAATTC